TTTGCTGGAAAAATATACATTTTATCCAAAGTTTTTACATTTTTTTCTCTTACATATTTGAAAGTCATAAATATGGCAAATGAAACCAAACCAAGCAGCCTTTATAGCTTTTATCTCCAAAAACATTGATGAATCATAACTATGTATTTCATATATCTTTTACAGAACAAAAATAAATGGCATTCTGAACCTGAAGTACAAAACTGGCTGCTAGAATAGCCAACGAGCAAGAAGCAAGTCCTGCTCCATAGAAGAATAAAGAGAAGTATATATGGCTAGCATGCAAAACAGTAATTCATGAAAAGACACTTTTATAACAGAGCCTGCTCCTTATCATTACAACATGTGAAAGATCATGAAATCTTCTAGTAATAGCCCTCTCCACTGCCCCTGTGGTCCTCAGAATACCCTGAGTGCGGCCTCTTCTCGCCTCTCCTATCATCTCTGTACTCTTGGTCTCTCCCTCCACCAAAGTCCCTTCGGTCATTTCTTCGGTCACCTTCAAAGTCTTTCCTCTCCCCTCCGTAGTCCCTCCTCTCACCTCCATATTCCCTTCTTTCACCCCTAAAGTCCCTCCTTTCCCCTCCAAAGTCCCTCCTTTCCCCTCCGAAGTCCCTCCTTTCCCCTCCGAAGTCCCTCCTATCGCCTCCGAAGTCCCTCCTTTCCCCTCCAAAGTCCCTCCTTTCCCCTCCGAAGTCCCTCCTTTCCCCTCCGAAGTCCCTCCTATCGCCTCCGAAGTCCCTCCTATCGCCTCTGAAGTCCCTCCTGTCATCTCCAAAATCCCTCCTATCCCCTCCGAAGTCCCTCCTTTCTCCTCCATAATCCCTCCTTTCACCAGTGTAGTCCCTCTTTTCTCCTCCAAATTCCCTCCTCTCACCCCCCCAGTTTCTCCTCCGGTCATCTCCAAAGTCCCTTCTGTTGTACCTGTTGCGATTATACCCTCCCTGTCTGCCATGGTAGTTGTCAGAGCGTCCCCTAAATCCACCCCGCCTATTCCTTTCAAATCTTTCAGCAGGAAGAATTGGAGGTTTTGGTGGTGGTTTGCTGCAATACTGAAAAAAAGGGAAGAACTGTCAATCAAAAGTTATATATGCATCTTTCTAGGAATGTGAAAACTGGTATTAATATATTTTCTATTATCGATAGGAATAGCCTATACATACTCATATTTTTGGCACATCTAGAAAAGTTAGTTGCAGAGGACAAATTAAAAAAAAAAAAAAAAATTGGGTGCTCTTTGATTTCTATCAAAGAAGGACCCAGGCCCAGCAGATATAGTGACATCAGCTACAGTATGTAAAAAAAAAGGGGGTTTAAACTAAAGATGTTTTGATGTCCACAATTTGCAAAATGTACCTCACATCTCTATAAGCTGCACAAGATGAATAATCTTTTAATTGTGATTCAGTCAGTGTCACTTACCAGCTTCCCCCTCCTTGGCCACCACAATACAAAAGGGTCTAGAGGAATATAAAATTTGCATAGGCATGAGAAAAGAAGTGACTATCAAATGTAGGATCACCAACCTCCAAGAAATTCTCATCATTTTCTGTGTAGCGATCTTTGGCTTGTTCCTCCAGTTTCGTCAAAAACTCTGTGTCTAGTTCAACCATGTTCACCTCACCAACACATACATCCTGCCTCTCCTCAGCCATAGTTAATATCTTTGTCGTTTGGGAAGTCCAATGAGCAAGGAGTCTGAAACTGTTATAAGATCAGCCATGTTACTAATAATAATATTTGCCATGAAACATCTACAAGTTTATCCTCATCTTTCTAAAATTTAGAGCCAAATATGAAAAATATCCTTACTGTTGTTCTTAAATCAATATGTATGCAAAACAAACAGACACATATAAAGTAAGACTGTTGAAATCAATGTTGTGTGAAGAAATTGTTATGAACTTTTGCAATTATTCTATGTGAAGTGAACCTATTTTTGCCTTAAAATATGGTTAAAAACAGACAAAAGCTAAGATATGTTAGTAACAAATCATGTTTTATTGTTTTGTGAAATATGAAAAAAATTGTACATTTCTGAGTAATACTAACAAAGGAAAAAAAAATTACTTACAGTCTTCACTTATTAATTTTTCTAAAATAAGTCCATAGAATCCCTTGCTTGAAGCTAAGTACTGGCTGGGTTTGGTATTTTCTATCGGTTCAAAGATCCTGAAAACCAAGAAAAGAGATAAAAAGGCAATAACAAAATTGTACAAACTACTGATAATCAAAGTTTGTTTCATGTGCTCACACAACAGCAACAAAAAATATCTAATATTTCAAACCAAACACTATAGTGTTCTTGGGCACTGACATGGTCAATTTATCTTATTCCTCTAATAAAAAATCATATAAAAGCTAGTGCTTAGCCATAAAGGATTTCACCTTTCCTTGAATTGGCACAAAAACCGTATTTTTTACTAGCGCTATAAATATAGATGATGTTATTTTTATCATAAACATTATAATTACTATAATGTTATAAACATCTGTAACAGCAAAATAAGATAACGTTAAATATTTTCGTAAATCAATGAAAAGGGTGAACAGGCAAGTCAGGCGATACTCTTAACTGGCTCATTGGTGATTTAGTACAAGTGTAGCCATCTATGTGTAAAAACAATTAAACAAGTAAACTCACAATGGGCATGGCATGTGCATACATGTCATGCCTGTCGGCAAAGGGTTAAAAAAATACAGGGGATCATCTTCATCTTTTCATTATTTCATTACAGACACTTTGTGGACATGTCATTAATTGAATTTCACTCTTTTGTCATTAGGGTTCTGAATATTTATACACACCTGCAAACACATGAGAAACTAATAAGAAACAAAAAATAAAAATCTACAATGTGAAATAATGTAAAAATAAATAAGAAAATAAAGTCCAGAATATTTAAACCTGTACCAAAATCTGAAAGTCTAAGTAAGCTGCTAACAAGGCTTACAGCAAACATGTACAATACATGCCTACTTTCCAGCTGCTGAAACAGGTTGGTGCTGCCCTACCAGTGTACTTTGAGTTGCTTTTTAAGTCTTAACCCAATCTGCATAGATGCAAGAATACATGCCATGCCCACTGTAATAGGAGTTTATTTATTGTATTTACAAATAGCTCTACATGTGTTTAGTCACCAAGGAGTCAGTTATTAGTCCTACCTACCTCACCTGTTTACCCTTTTCCTTGATTTCTGGAAAGTTTCTTTTGTATTATTTCATCGCCTTTAATGTTACCAAGACTTTAATGATGAATACTGGGGAGCCCCTGTATATATCAGATAAGAAGTTATGTAATGTTTGTGATCTGTTGCTAATTTGCTTTGGAATTGATATTATTACAACCTTAGATAATGTATTTTGCAGAATATTACCAGTAGATCATGGATATCACATGATTCTTCCACTCTTGGTAGATAATTCAATACCAAAAAGTGTTTTGTAATTTTCCTTGTGTTTGCAATGCCAATAGTAATATAACAATGTGAATTACATCAGCCATATTGTGTAGTTTTTCATACTCATCCAAACATTTGTTACTCTGTTCTGTTGTTTATATAGCCCAGGAGATGAAGGAATATCCAAATTATAAGTTATTACAACAAGCAATAGATTATACTTCTTGTATCAATCCAGCTGTACCTCTACCCTAGCTTTCTAATCAAGTTTTCATGATAAAGATAAAAATATAGTACAGAAGACATACCAGCCAAGATGTGCCTTGCAGCGAGGACAGACGCAGACCTTCCACGAATAGCCAGGAAACCAAGAATGGTCACTATACCACTGGAAGGAGAAAAGAAGCTAATGAGCTAATTTATTACATAACTGAAGAGGTTTTATGAACTATGAATTCTGTACATCACACACCACCACTACCACCACCACCACACACACACAAATGTATACAAAATCAAATTGCTATGTGGATAAATTATAGAGGAAAGAAGGATTAGGAGAGATTTGAGACAGGAAGCTTCAATGGCTGAGAAAGGGCAAGAGAGAAATATGCGAGTGTTTGAGTTGGGGTTTGTGCATTTAGTCCACATAGGGATTTATTAAGGCAGGGGTCAGGATAACCTATGTTACCTTATCCTTTTGAGATGTAAGCTTTTGTCTCAATAAACTTGTCAAATAAAAAATCTATGCAGTTAGGAACTCATCTGCAACTCTACTTGTTGGTAAGTAATCAGTCTTCTGTATTTACATGTGCTTATATGTCTGAGTATAGGCACAAGTATCCCCCCTTTTATAATCTTTTTTTTATTCTTTCCCCAAAAATGCAGCACTCACCTCTCCAACGCCTGAACATCCAGTTCTTTTCACAGTGACAAGGTCAAAAGCTATATCAGCTGGGTTTCGCAGTGTCTGAACCATCAAATGAGAATGGCCAAGGACAGACAACCAGTGACTGGACTCCGAATGAGGGCTAGTGACATTGACAAAATTTTCCTTCGTATTTTCGGTTAATTCTGCCCCACAGTTACGACAAAGGATATGATCTGTTGAGGGAAATAACTTGTGCTAGAATTCTCTATGGTATCAACTGATAAGGAAAAACACATTTATCACAACTGAAGTAACAAATTTAGGTCTTAAATAAAGCAGATTCACACAAAACAAAAGCAATATAACTTTTCTTGGATTTATACTATTCATAGTATTTTTAGACATGAGAAGGCATAAAACAAAAGAATTATGTAATACTATCAACAAACAATAAAGAACCAGCATCCACACAACAAAATACAATCACAGTATATTCAACTAATAATGTATAACAAAGAAATATTGATAATACTAGATCTTCTGTGAACTTGATATTAGAGGAGTCTGTTTATTCTCTCAATAAACTCACGCACTGTTACCATTCAATGAGAATGTGAAATTAATCTAGGGACCCGTTGTAGATGTTGGAAAGTGACGCATAACTAAAAACCAACAAATAATAATGTTTGTATATGTGCAAAATTAAGAAAGACTTCAAGAGATCTAATTTTTAGGCTGGTTGCTCTAAGCTATATATTACTACATGCTGGTAAACAGTGTGGAATATCTTTGATTATCTGATAGAACCTGACAGCAGTTTAATACAGCAAACTGTTGTACCAGTTTTATTTTACACATTTGTTAGACTGCTGATGTGTTCTAACAACTCTACTTTGTCTTTATCTATTTTTCATAAACCTTCATACAATAAAAATACTGCTGCTACTTGGATATCGCAAACATAAAAAAAACAACAACTCTAAACTGCTATTTAAAGGGGTAAGAAAAAGAAGGAAAAAAAAAAAAAAAAAAAAAAAAATAATAATAATGAATACCAGCTAGGATCCAAGTATAGAAAGATTTTTTTTCTGCCATTTACTGCACACCCAGGACTAGTCTAGAAATCATAATTGTTCAGTTGGTGAGTTAATCCACTTATCAATCAGCCCCATGTCAACTGGCATGGCATGTATGTACATGCCATGCCCACTGTGGGTTTAGTTGATTAACCCATTTGCACTGGGTAAAAATGAACAAAAAATGGGGAAAATGCTGTGTTCATTTTTTATGAAATTTCTCTACACTAGATGACTCTGCCTTACCTGATTTTATCTTTACATGCATTGGCGGGAAAATGTATTTTTACTAGTTTTATGAATATCGATGGTTATTTTTATTATAAACATTATAATTACTATAATGTTATAAACATTAGTAACAAGAAAATAAGATAACGCAAAATAATTTTGTAAATTGAAGAAAAGGGTAAACAGGCGAGACAGGCGGTACAAGTACAAGTGTAGCCATCTATGTATGAAAACAATTAAACAAGTAAACTCACAGTGAGCCTGTCACGTATACGTGACGCCCGGCGCGAATGGGTTAAATGTTTTTACACATAGAGGGCTACACTTGTACCAAGTCACCAATGAACCAATAACAAGTACTGACTGTCTTGCCTTTCTACCCTTTTCCTCGATTGAAAAAATATTTTAAATTATCTTATTTTGCTGTTACTTATGTTTAGAAAATTATAGAAATTAAAATGTCTATAATAAGAATAACACCATCAATATTCAAAGCATGAGTAAAAAATATTTTTCCCGCCAATTCAAGGAAAGGTAGAATTAGGTAAAGTCACAAGGTCTACAAATTGACTCATTTGTGGCTAAGCACTAGCAGAGCGATCTATGTGCTGAAACATTTCACAATTTTTTTTTTTTTTAATGACTATGGTATTTTCCCTGGCAACATGTGGTTAAGCATGAAGTGAATACAAATAATCTGTGGGGAGTGATTTTCATGCCTATAATATATTAACCCCCTATGATGTAGATGACTTGATCATCACATCCCGAAAAACTATGGCTTGAGGGGTAGGTGATGTGAACATGCTGTCATTGGAAAATTTGGCTATAGGCCAGGTTGCCACAAACTTGCTGACATGACCATTTCAGCTAAAGACCGGGTGATGGGAGCGACTTGTCACGAGTGCACAGAAAGGACACTATTTCCAGTTCAGGATCCTATTTCCAGCTGCTATAACTGGCTCTGCAGGTTGTATTACAGAAAATTAAATATTACACATAAATTAAAGAGTTGAAACTTGTAAGCAGTGGGCTGACTTTAGCTGTGATCAGGGGTTTCAATAATCTTTTTCCTTTATTTGTGGCATTATCATTTGTGCTTGCAGATTATTTCTTGTATCGAAGACTGCAACTTTTTTATCCTCTATAAAAAATCATCTTTAATTTACCCTAGTTTAAGGTCTCCATACTGTAAAGACTAACCATCATGAATGATGAAAATGGACCACAACAAATGGTGCATGGAGAGGAAGTCTAATGTGACTGGGTGGTGTATTTCCCAGTTGCTGTATCTCCCAAAAGGGAAATACAGCAACAGGGTGGTGGTCTTGGGGCAAAGGCCTCGGGTTAGCAAAGTTAATGCTTCATGCAGCAATGTTTATGGATTCCCTGGAGTAGCTGTAGTAACCGAGACTTAGGGATGTGGACACTTCATAAACAATTACTAAATACTTTCACTTACAATATTTGCAATGGAAAACAACAAGAGATTCCCACATATTACACTCTGTATGCTTGAAACAAGGAATAACAATTGCAAGGTTGGACTATTGAGTGACACTAATAATTCACGGGGGTCCATGGGCAGAGCTTTTTGGCTTGGGACATTTGGTGGTGTTGTACCCATAAATTTTACCAAAAGATTTCAAGTTGGTGCATAGGCCCATAAACTTTCAATTACCCCCTCTAGGTCTGTCTTGCCCCCCTCCCCACCCTAACTTTTAGAACTTACTGAATTTGATTACAGACACATACAAGGCAGTACTGACTGGCAACAACTGTCCCCCCAAAAACAAGACTGATGCCCCTGGTTATCATTGATCTTTATACATCTTATTACTGTATATTTATATACAGTAATAGTAGATTTACCTCTTACCCAAAAGGTTCAAGAGCAGATGCTTGCTTCAAAACATGTATGTATTGTGATCACATCAGTATCACCAATAATCATTCTTTTTCCATAAAACTGTACTGCAACTAATGGTAGTAGAACTACAATAGCAACATATGAATAAATTTACATATATTATCTGTGAATACCAGAAATATGTTATAGAAATTAAAAATAGTATAATATTTGGTCAATATAGACTTATCATTAATCCAATTGGATTTTGTTTACAGTTTGTCGAGTATTGTTCACCATGCCCCCTCCCTCCCGTGCAATACTTAATATTCTGGTATACTGTACACTTACAAAACAAAAAAATGTAATGACACTCGCACAAACAAAGGGAAAAAAAAAAAAACTCATTGAGGCAGTAAATAACATCAGAAATAATGCCTCCCCAAGAGCAAGTCCATGGTGATCAGGTGGGAGTCAGGTGGTAGAGCCCCCAATAAGGAAATACTGCTATTGGTTGGGGGTCTGGACACTAAGCCCCCAAGTTAGAAAGGTTTTTGTAAACAATACCATCATAATTTTCATACTTTATAACTCCCAAAGCTTAACTGGCGCCTTTGATTCCTGTCGTAAAAAAGGCGTTGTGACTGGAAATGAAGGCTAGAGTGAACCAATCACGGCGACTTTGGTATCAATAGATTTCCCTCTCTCAACTATCGAAATATATTGAAATTATACCACAGAAACACCCCATTATCAATAATCTTGGCCATGAGAGCAGGGGAGGGTATGAAAGGTACCTGGGAAATTGTAGGGTAAAATACGAACAAAATACATGGTGAAAAATGACCAAGAAATTACCTTCAGCAACGACAAAATATGAAAACAATATTAAATTGAACAAAAAGCCCCACCGCCATACACACAGTCCAACACACTTCACCCTTTCCGCTAGGTCACTATGGTACCTGTGTGTCTAATTACCGTGGCGTTCGTCCTCGTGAGAAGTTGAAAGACCTGGTGATACGAGGAAGAAAATCACCAACAATAACGGCGTGTTTGTGTACATGACGTCACGTGCGCATTCGAGGTTGACGCCAAAGGAAGTCGATTTTTTTGTCTGCTGTCCTTGTTGTTTCGATATATTTTTCACAGTTAGCGTTTGTTGTTATAATAGATATATATGTATGTTCTTTTTTAAGTTGTAGTACTATAGTGGCTCAGCGGGAAATACTATTGGAGAGGTAGTGTACATGACGTCACGTGCGCATTCGAGGTTGACGCCAAAGGAAGTCGATTTTTTTGTCTGCTGTCCTTGTTGTTTCGATATATTTTTCACAGTTAGCGTTTGTTGTTATAATAGATATATATGTATGTTTTTTTTTTTTAAGTTGTAGTACTATAGTGGCTCAGCGGGAAATACTATTGGAGAGGTAGTGTACATGACGTCACGTGCGCATTCGAGGTTGACGCCAAAGGAAGTCGATTTTTTTGTCTGCTGTCCTTGTTGTTTCGATATATTTTTCACAGTTAGCGTTTGTTGTTATAATAGATATATATGCATGTTCTTTTTTAAGTTGTAGTACTATAGTGGCTCAGCGGGAAATACTATTGGAGAGGTAGTGTACATGACGTCACGTGCGCATTCGAGGTTGACGCCAAAGGAAGTCGATTTTTTTGTCTGCTGTCCTTGTTGTTTCGATATATTTTTCACAGTTAGCGTTTGTTGTTATAATAGATATATATGTATGTTTTTTTTTTTTAAGTTGTAGTACTATAGTGGCTCAGCGGGAAATACTATTGGAGAGGTAGTGTACATGACGTCACGTGCGCATTCGAGGTTGACGCCAAAGGAAGTCGATTTTTTTGTCTGCTGTCCTTGTTGTTTCGATATATTTTTCACAGTTAGCGTTTGTTGTTATAATAGATATATATGTATGTTTTTTTTTTTTAAGTTGTAGTACTATAGGGGCTCAGCGGGAAATACTATTGGAGAGGTAGTGTACATGACGTCACGTGCGCATTCGAGGTTGACGCCAAAGGAAGTCGATTTTTTTGTCTGCTGTCCTTGTTGTTTCGATATATTTTTCACAGTTAGCGTTTGTTGTTATAATAGATATATATGTATGTTCTTTTTTAAGTTGTAGTACTATAGTGGCTCAGCGGGAAATACTATTGGAGAGGTAGTGTACATGACGTCACGTGCGCATTCGAGGTTGACGCCAAAGGAAGTCGATTTTTTTGTCTGCTGTCCTTGTTGTTTCGATATATTTTTCACAGTTAGCGTTTGTTGTTATAATAGATATATATGCATGTTCTTTTTTAAGTTGTAGTACTATAGTGGCTCAGCGGGAAATACTATTGGAGAGGTAGTGTACATGACGTCACGTGCGCATTCGAGGTTGACGCCAAAGGAAGTCGATTTTTTTGTCTGCTGTCCTTGTTGTTTCGATATATTTTTCACAGTTAGCGTTTGTTGTTATAATAGATATATATGTATGTTTTTTTTTTTTAAGTTGTAGTACTATAGTGTCATCTTGCAAACTGTTAGCAGCAACTGTATTAATATAATCTTTACCAACACAAATACACTAATCAGTGCGGATACTGAGCAGCTCAACTTTAGAGACGACCTCCGTATCTTCACTGATGAGTTACTCCCCCCATCAATTGTTGAGCACCAGCTATCTTTTGAAAAAGCCGATACACTACTGAACATTAACATATACAGGATCACGATCAGCAAGATGGTACATGTCTGTCACGAACCCATCGTTCTTCATTAGTGCGATGAATAGACAGCCCTAGTTTTTCATAGACTTTGACTTGGGTATCGCTGTAATTGGGGAATAAAAGAAAGGATGCACAGAGAATGTTAGCATTGTAATATTCAAACTGAAGAACTACTTATCCACAGTCTCTTAGACTGCGCTGCCATCTTAAAACTACTACGCTCATCATCAGTATCACAGCACCTCCCACACCAGTATCAATGTCACAATCGCGCTGTCACTCGCTCTCACGATGTCACTATCATTGTCATGGTACCTTGGTTCTCCAGTTTTATCCCACAAGTGCGATGCAGTAGGTAACGGGCCCTCCTCGGGATTCTGGAGCTTCAGTGACCTCTCAGGCCTCCGGCGTGGGTTGTGAAGCCACGCCTGGTCCCTAGGGCAGTACACTTCGTCTCGTGGCTTTCCTGTTGCGAGGTCGACTGGAAGTCAACTCTCGCGGCCGAACATCAGATGCGATGGCGTAAACCCCATGGGCTTGTGTTCACCCGCCCGATATACCATCATCCCAGTCTTGCTGGTCCTCTTCGCAAAACTTAGTGACAAGTGTGGCATTGAAACACCATGCCGTTGCTTCGTGGCCGCAAGGGAGCGTTGCGAGTCTTGTGGACCACAATGAGGCAACAACACTCCCTAAAGACCAGAGACTCAAACTCTTAGCCCTGGTCCCCTGGGACCCCAAAGCGGCTAAAGACTTGGATCGCCAAAAATTATGAGACTGTCTCTGCTTCGGGGTTGGGAAGGGTATAAGCCTCTGTCCCCTTTGAAAATCCATGGCCACACCAGAGATATTTGTTTCCCCTGTCAGTGAAGGGGAGGGGACGAGCAATGTCTACGGTATGCATTCCATGGATTCCCCGGCTTGGGGTGCATGTCTCTTCTATGTGGGTCCCTTCTTTGCCGTGCACCACCCGACTGGTCTTGCACCACCCCTGAACAGTGGCGCTATTACTAACCACTGTTGCACTCCTGTACAGGCGTCCACCCAAATCCACTGCAATACATCATCCTCCAGGCACAATATTCCAAAATATCCCACTGATCCACAAGGCACCTGGTGACTTGGTTTTCTGAGGTTATGGTCACCCACTACAGCTGTTCCTTGCCTACCTCCAGTCACTGGATAACTGGTGCTAGATCCTGGTCCATCCTCTAGTCCTCCCTCCATCTCTCGTCAGCCTTGGCTACACTCTCGCTAACCACCAACCTCCGACAGGTGATCTCAGGCTCGCGACGAGAGTAATGAGCACAGGTTCGCAAGGATGGTGGCTTTGGTGGCTACCTCGAGACTATCAATGTTGCTGTGAATACGGCCAGCCCGATGCACCACCAGGTAGTTATACTGCTCTTACTTCCAAAGCCATCTTGTCAGTTGGCTTTCCAGCTTTTTCAAGGTCTTTAACCAACACAGGGCAGTGTGGTCTTTACGGATGGTAAACTGCGGCCTGTACAGGTAGTGTCAGAAGTGGGCGAGTTCTTTTATGATAGCTGACAGCTCCTTGCGAGTGACGCAGTCATTTTTCAAAAGCTTGGAAAACTTGGAAGCTGTAGTAGGCTACCACATGTCTTGGGAGTCCTTGAGCTGTGACAAAACCGCGCCGACGCCTTCCTGACTGGCGTCTATGTCCAGGGTGTAGGAGAATCTAGGATCAGGGTATGGCAACACCGGTACTTCTACCTAAGCTCGCTTTAGGGCTGCAAAGGCTTGCTGGTTGATGCAACGGTGTGGCCATGGTGGCAAAGGCTTGCACAAATCTACTGTAGTATGTCTACATCCCCAGGAAGTTTCTCAGCTCCGCCACAGTCCTTTGCACTGACGGTATTTTTGTGTGGAAAAGGGTGCTGGGCTGAGGTTTAGGTTGGCAACTTTGAGGCAAAGAAAATCCAACTCCTCAAAGGTGTTCCCAACACATCATCCTGATATACCTAGGCCGCTTTCCATTGCATCCCCTTCAGTACTCATGCCATTAGGTGTTCAAAGCATTCAGGGACGTTTCACAGACTGAAAGGCATGACAATAAAGTGCCACAGCCCTGCCTGAAAAAGAAAGCATTCTCTTTATCCTTTGTCACCCAGGTCTAATGTGGAGAGCCATTGAACCCTGGTATGTCGTCAAGGGGTAGGCACTGGTGACGGTGACAGCATTCAGAACTCAATAGTCCATGCAAAAGCACTTGCTGTCCTTTGTCATTAGCACCACTGTGTAACACCAAGGACTGTCTGAATACTCTATAATGTCATCTCCTGTATCGAGTTGCATCTTAAGTCCATATCTCCCTGGTAAAACACGTCTGCATACTGAGTAAGCACTCGCCGCACTCTCCTCGCCTGCTCACAAGGTAAATGCTTGATAATCCGCTACATCAGGTCCCCCATGTGGCTAGATACTGCTTCCTGTTGCACGATCTTGGTGTCCTCTCCTCGTGCCTTGGGGGGTGCCTCGTGTTAATAGGGGGTGAAGTGGTAATTGTGGTGGTGGTGGAGTGTGCGAGTCTGATGACAGCGCACTTAGCTTTTCACAAGTGTGTTGCCTGTTTGCGGCATCCTGTTTCCTCCCTAACTTCTATCCATGCCACTGGGGCGTGTACGCCTAAGATCAGAGGCACTTCATGGCCTCTCGCTGTCATCTTTCTCCGGAGATCTAAACATGCCTCCACACGTGCCAGGTAGTCCAGTCCGAGCAAGTGAGGGTCCTCTATTTCGGCAAGCATAACTTCTGGCTGGCCTTTGGAAAACCACGGGTTGCGATCATGTTTTTCCTGACAAACATCAGATCCGGTCCCGTGTCTACTAACATCTTCACAGGGCTTTCGTTGATCTAGCCAGCCATTCTCATGACAGTGCGCGCCGCAACCTGCCGACACCTTATGCTTGCTGGGGCGACATGGTGTTTTGCTGGGCAGCCACCCCTGCTCCCAGCTGGGCCATGTATTCCGTCACCAACAAGTTGATAATTCTCCAACGAGGGAGACCTGTTATTGCTTTTCTTATGGAGGAAGGGTGTCTCCCAGCCTGGGTCTTCAAGTATATGTGGCGGGGGATTACTAGTCACCTCTCCCCTGCTCGTCGTTGGGGCGGCGGTGGCGGTGAGAAAGAATGCCTCAAGTTCGGCCGAATGTGTCACCGCTTCCTGCACGTTGTGCGGCCCCGTCTGCTTCATGTGGAGCTGAAGCTGTTTGTTTGTCAGTGTGTCTACGAAGCTGTCCTTGGTCAGCATGACAATGGTCTCTTCTGTGGCTATTGGATATATCCCCCTTACCATCACCTCAATATCCTATGCCAGGTTCGGAAGGGGTTCGTCTAGCAACGGCTAAAGCGGCGTTGCAGGGCCCTCGCTTTGCAATCATACGATTGCATTTAGGCAGCAGTTCAGTGCTCCAACACCTCCACAGCTATACCCTTTAGGATGATGACAAGCTGGTATACATTTTCTTCATCGCCCTAGCTTTACCTCCTAGCTGCAGCCTCAGACTAGGCCTGAAACACATTCCATGGGATTTTATCGTCACATTCGGCTAGCCTCTGGTCGAGCGTGGTAGGGGTGAAGGGGAGAGAGGAGGGGAAGTTGGCCCCCCGACCCTTCAATCACATGCTGGTGAAACCAGGGAGTTGACGCCACTTCTTGTGGGCTTTGTTCCCGTGTATCCCATGGAGTAGCGTTGCATTCGACCAACGCTTCCTCCTGCATTGACATCAAGATTGCCGAGGCACCTTCAAGCCAATAGGCTCAATCTCTCTTGTCACTGCTGCCAACTGGGCCTCATTACCTCCATTGGCTACTTCACTTCCCTCTTCACCTCCTTTGGACTAGGATTTAGTAAGAACAATACAATTCCAGGTCGCAGCAGCAACTACAGAAAACGCTCTCCATAAAACAAGTCCAGATCAAGTTACATTGTTGCTCAACACTATATCTGAAACAGTTCCTCAACAAATCAAAAATGTTTCGTAACTGTTGCGAGACATGATTTCATACCCATGCCCAGACCAAGATACTTCGTTGATCAACGTTTGTGACGTGTGCTCCGTTGTTGGTTTTCTGTTAATAGTATGATTAAATATAGGAAAATACACATGCCAGGAGTTTGTGAAATCTACATTACACTGGCGAATGAAATCGCATCTATGCTGCAGAACATTCACTATAATTATTGAGGCGTTGCAGGAAAGAGGGAAAAAACTGATAAAATAGGAAAATATATAGTATCATAATAGGCAGATGTGCTGGCAGAATGATAACAATAACAATAATAAAAAATACCTCTCACGTATTTGTATTGCCTCTCATAGCTTAGTACCGTCAGAAGCTTTCACATTTTGTATTTTAAAAATATTGGGTGTGTAACGTCACGAAGCAATCAGTTCTGAATTAATATGCTATCAGCTTATTCTGCCACTATATTTACATTTCTTTAACTACTTTGACTACTCAGGCTTCTGACGGCCCTAAACTATGTGAGTCGATACCGTTCCGTGAAAGTTTTTTTTCTGACAGCACTAAGCAATGTGTCGTATTGTAGGTTCGTGATTTTGTTTCCTCCCAAGATATTTGCTTATTTTGTTACTTGAAGCAGGTAGTATTTTTTTTCCCAGGAATCAAATTTGGTCAACAGAAAGGGCACTTAGACTGATCAGTTTAGACTGATTTCCAAATTGTACGTCAGTTACAAATTGCTGTCAGTGTTTCTCGAGTGTATCACAATAGTTGCTCGTGTTTCGCGAGTGTCTCGCAACAGTTGCTAACAGTGGAACAATAAAATTGGAATGTTGCTCAGTTGTTGAG